CTTCTCTTCTTTCTCCGTGTTTTTCTTCGTGAGGCTTGTGATGCATAGTATGTATAAGACGTTTGATCGTCATAAGCGGCATAATTCCAACTGGAGTCAGTATAATAACTGTCCTCATACCATGAATCCCAGCTCGGTGCGGTGGAACTCTCATAGGCCTGTGGAGATCCAGTTTGGTCTCCTTGTAAGGAGGCAGACTTAGCTGTATCCTTACCTTTGCCTTTTGCCTTTGCGCCTTTGAAGGAGCTTCCTTTATCTCCTTTGTCCTTTCCTTTTCCTTTGCCTTTTCCACCTTTTCCTTTTTCCTTTCCTTTACCTTTACCGAAATAGCTGGAATCAGTTGGATCATGTTCTGCCTGGTTGGCTCTCCCTTTTCCGCGGTATGACCTAAAACGGCCACGTCCTTTTCGCTTGCCACCCTTTGCTCTTCCCGGTGATCCGGGACGCATTCTTGGTCTTCTTCCCTTTTTGAATCTCCTTGCAACGAAGGCCTCATGGTCATCAACTGTCCAGAAGACAGCTTCTTCATCCTCGGCGGCAAGAAAGCCTTCCTCAAGGGTGTCTTCGTCTTGGAGCCAGAATCCATCGACTCCATCGTATTCACCCTGATCGAGGATGAGGAAGTTTCGACCTCCGCGTTTGCGGCGTTGGTCTCTCCTTCCATGGCGGTCCTTCTTGTGAGAAGAGTGCCGAATGTTTGGATCCTGCAGACCAGTTCTGGTCGTTGAGAACTGATCGAACATGGTCTGCCGTACCACAGGGTACGTGTAGGTCTCAATTCGGTGACCTTGGTTGGTCAATGCTGTTACCAACCTCTCACGTTGCATCTCATTTAGGTCGGACTGCACTAGGAAGAGGAGAGCTAGGAGATTATCGTTCAGAGGAAACGCTCTTCGATGATTGTCAAGGCGTTCCTTGTTCCATGTTTCGAAATAGCGTGCGGCATATGTGTCTCTGTCGGCTGCATCCTGCATGCGCAAGAAGGTTTGGTCTGCCTGCACAGCTTGCATGAAATCTGGATGGGCATCCTCCAGAGCTATCTCTGGTAAGAGATCCATCCATGAGTTTTTCACGCGCTGTAGCACGATCTCAAACTTGGCAATCCAAGTCACAAAGTCTTGGTTGCCCTTCCATGCCTTGAATAGGCCGAGGAAACGCCACAGGAAAACGTACTGTTCTCCTTTCACGAAAAATGGACGCATCTTCTTCTTGAAGTAATCTACTCCATCTGGGGCTGCAAGCCTTTCTCGGTTCAGTGATTCCTTTTGTACTGCGGCCAATCCGGAGAGCCTCGTCTTGAGAGACGGACCTCTTTTGGTGTCATCCAGCGTTGTTATGTCGCACCAGTCGTCAATCAACTGTTCATACTCAAACCACGAGGTGGTGCCATCATAGGCAGGCGCGATCTTGGGCGTTATGCCTAATGATGCAAGCATGCGGTCAGATGTTGCATATGACTGTGCGACATAAGTGGCTGGACCTTGGGAGGAGGATTGCACCAAGCGCTGCCATCAGCTCACCAGTTGGCTCATCCAACCATACTATTGGCAGTATGATTGGCAAGACATGTGTCCCGGTTGCAGGATGTCGTGCCACGTTAGATGCGAGCCGGATGAGAGATCAGAAGCAGATAAACAAGTACCAGCCCAGCACCAGAAAGAGAGAGAGCAAAGCCAAAAGAGAGAGAGGGAGAGAGAGATAGAGGGACATGCGACAAGCGCGCAGCGTAGGGGAACTTCCCCTTCGCCATAACCCTGGCGAAAGAAAGAAAGAAAGACATCCAACCAAAATGATGGATGGGCCCAGAGAGAGAGAGAGAGAGAGACTAATACTTTGCCGTTGTCGAAGTAGCAAGCTGGCATGAACCGGGACGTGCTTGCAAACGCAAATCACTGCGGGACCGTAAAATAGACGGCTACTGTAGCCTTATGACTAACGCCATTGATTCAGCTTGTCCAAGCTACACGGTCCACCAGGAATGTAGTTGTGTGAAACGAAAGTAATTGTGAACCCCGAAGCCTTCCATAATCCAATACATTACTTTGTCTACTTTCGGGGGAACCAGTTACCGTGTTACACTCCCTTCATGCCCCATAACATACGGGGGGGCCATGTGCCCGGGGGGTCTGAACGACCCTCATGCCCTGCAGAAGAAGAGACTAATGCCAACTTTTTCTCACGCTTTCCCACGAGATCCATTTAAACCTCGCAGGTCTGCAAAGCCTTATATGCCCGTTAGAGAGAGAGAGAGAGAGAGAGAGAGAGAGAGAGAGAGAGAGAGAGAGAGAGCGAAAGAGAGAGAGAGAGAGAAAGGCATACATGAGGGGACCGTAGCAGAGGCGAAATCGGGGGACATGGGGGAACTACCTGAGCTGTACCGCGGTCTTCCAAGCTGTTGTTTCTTAATTGTCTCTAAACAGAAGTCAACCCATGGTCGCTCTTTTTCGAAATGTCAAGCCCGGTAGCATCACGGGATGTGGAGCATCCCCTGACCTGTAACGTGCCTCTAGTTCTAAAACCCTTTATGTCGTACCTTCTTGCAAGCTGTTGCTTTGTCCTGATATCACGTGGTACTTTCTCGCAAGCTGTTTCTTATCCTGATTACAAATGAGGCACATGAACCGCGGTCACCTCAGATCAACCCGGGGGATAGGTACACTCATTCTGGTCTGCGTTAAAGCTCTCCTCTAGTATTATGTGGGATGAAGACAAACCTGGGTTGGTGACAACGAAAAGTAGTCGAAAGGGCAAAACCCCAATGCGCAAACTATCATGTTACGCATTGGCACATCTTATCTTTCCATGTTTTCTCAAATAAGGGGGAAATGCCCGACGTAGCATAGCCGATGGTCATCCGGGGGAAGTGGACTTGTGTTAATGTGTTTCATCCTACAGGTAGGGCGAAAATGTGTTGGTGAAAGAAGTCCCTGGACCAAACCGGCAGAACTGATGGTACAGTGTAGTTCAAGGTTCCCGGGGGATCAGACATGTTGCCTTACAGTCATGCATCTAGATTGTTCTTGTTGATTGTAGTTCCAAAAGGATCCGCCGGGGAACAAATAAACTACGAAAAACCTGTCACACTCCTCCAAAGTCCCCACAAAATATGGGGGGGCCCTAGCGGCCGAGGGGTCTTAACAGCCCCTCATGCCCGGCGGAAGAAGAGAGAGAGAGAGAGAGAGAGAGAGAGAGAGAGAGAGAGAGAGAGAGAGAGAGAGAGAGAGGAGAGGAGAGAGGAGAGAGAGAGAGAGAGGAGAGAGGAGAGGAGAGAGAGAGAGAGAAGAGAAGATAAACACCAGTGCACCACGCACGGGGCTCCTTTCCGTTTTTCAGTGCGTTCGTCCGGTTGAGAAGGAGACGAGCGGAGAGAGAGAGAGAGAGAGACGTGGCTTTCTCAGTAGTCTTACCGAATCGGCACGCACAAGTGTGTGTGCAGGGGTGGAGCTTACGGCAGGCGCAGACAAGAGGCAGTCTGTAATTTGCTGCATCTAGCTTGCCGCCAAAAGGCAGCGTGCGCGTGGCGGGCACTCCTTTGTTGCAGTGCAGCCATCTTATTTGACGACAGGAGGGTGCTTGCGCTCGTCTTGAAATTTTTGTTAGCCTCGCTGGGCAACCAACTGTTCTTGTCCTGCCTCGCTTCGCACTTGATCACTGGTGTTTTGAGCCACGAAGGGTGGGCGAAGCTGAACCATGGTTTCGCCTACAGCCCAAGCTTAAGTCGCCGCGCTTGCCAAGGTCGGAAGAACAGCCTAGCACGGACGTTTCCAATTCTGAGTGCGACAGCACCAGCTGCAGCAGCCCCGACAGCAACGACAGCACCAGCTGCTACGGCCCCGACAAGAGCTCCAGGTGCAGCAGCACCGACAGCAACAGTGACGACGGAACCGACGGTGGTGGCGCGTGCACGCCTCTCAATGAAGACACCCAAGATGGAGAGTGGGTTCTTCTTCCAGAGGCGGGTTCGGGGGCTTCTGACCAGGGTTCCCAGAAAAGGGCAAATATCCATGTGAGCGGTCCTCCCAGGATGCGCATGACGAAGTGCATCAGCTTGGTGAGGACAGGGCAGCTTGCAGCCCTCACTTCGCAGCGGTCGAGGTGCTTCCACATCGAGTCCGAGTGAGTTTGCCAGAGCAAAGACATGCGAGCAATTGCAACGTCTTGACTTGCACCAGAAGCTGACGCATAACGGTCCGACGGCTTTTTGCTTGGTTTGTGAAAAGCTACTCCACACCTTGTGAGCTATACGAGAGTGAGTGCCCATGCTCTGCCTTGTCTTGACATCTGCGGCTTCTGACCGACTGTGTTGTGGCTGTTTGACGAGGTGAGCTTCAATCTCACGACTTCAGACGATCCAAAGATCCCTGAGTTGCCGAGAAGCGTCGAGAGGAAACAGCTGATCTTTGACGACGAGTCTGAGCGACCTGCCTTGACATGGTACTGCCATGGCACCTGTCTTCGTCGTCGCTGTTCGCTCATCATGCAGGCAGTGATAGGCAGTGCCCAGCGAGGTCCACAAGATCACGAGATTCGTCGCAGGGTTGCGGTCCGCGAGATGATCGGGTTGACGCAGCTTGCCAGACGGACTTTGCGGACTGCGCAGCCCCTTGCCACATGCCCACAGCCTGTTCCCTGACACATGCTTGGGAGAAATATTCCAAATGGAGTCGGGCAAGATGACCCCAGGTCCACAGTTCGTTGCCGGAGACCGACGGCCCGACGGAAGCTGGGCGCTTAATGGCAGGCCGCCCGCAGCTGCAGCTGAACGTGCTGTGTTGCTATGATGCCAAGAGACGATTGAAGGTCCAATCATTTCTGGCTCAAGACCTCCCGGTGGATTGTCAGCTTCGAGCTCTGTCATTCCGAGGTTGGCAATGGGGAGATTCATCCCTACGACCTCCTTCTGCACCTCGGTCTATGATCATCGGGGCCTGCTGGAGCTGCTTACTGCTTTGCACTTGCCTGCCGGGCATTGGGAATTCCCACCAGCCCCGAGGCCAGACATGTTGCCGTACCTCAGCGAAGCTCGGTTGCGAATTGGCCAGCGGCCGCGATGCCGACAAGATCTTGTTGAGGTTGTTGGTCATGCTCTGTGCATTGTGCTACAGACTAAAGGTGACAGATTTGCTCAGCTGGCGCCAGCTTTCCCGCCAGACCAGAAATCTCGAGGCCCATAAACAGTCGGGCGGCTCGCGCCAACTGTTTCGCTTCTTGATAGAGACCGCCACATGCAGATGTGCTTGAGCTGCTTGCAGGCCTTGATAGAGCACGTGGCCGAGATAGGCAGCATGGACAGGCGCTGTACCGTCCTGGTGCTCTTTCCACAAGCCGAATGTTGTCGACACTACACTGTCGTATGCTAGAATCTTGCTGCTTTCCTGACACTCAGTGATGGACAGTCGATGCTTGGCTTTGTCAGCGGTGTCCCGCGATGCGGGTGCCATGTCCGCTGCAAATTGTGCTGGGCAGGCCTACGTCTGTTGTGGACTTCGTTGAGAAGAGTTTACCGCGGATGGCGAAAGATGCCCCCTGCACCGCAGCCTTTAGAGACGATGCAGAGCAAAAGCTCCACGAGTGCTTCTCGACTGGTTTAGCTCAGTGTTATCTGTGAATCTTTCTGGCAGAGCGCCTGTACTGGCTTTGGCTTTGGCCGAGTCTGCTTCTTTCTCAGGTCGGAACTGGTGCGTGGCCTTCGCCCAGAGCAAAACCCTTTGTGCCGAAAGCCGCGTTCGCCGCACTGTTGACAAGAATCTCCAAAGTTTGTTTGGGCACTGCTGGAGTGCAGATGCGTCCGTTGTTGCCTCCGCCCAACTCGTGGTCTTGAACTATGCCAATAATGCCGTGCCCTTCGTGCAGCAACGTGTTGCAGGAGCGATGTTGGACCTGATGGACTGTCTATTGCAGTCGGGCACTGGCATCCACTTGCAGCACATATGGACTTGCACCCAGACTCTTGTGATCGTATTGCGCTCACTCACTGTGCGTGAGCGTCAGAAGTGCGTGGCCTTATTTGTCAAGCTGTTACTGGATCCTAGCTTTCCAAAACGGAAAGTCCTGGAAAAGCTGAAGATGCTATGGATAGTCGACGACAATCCCAGACGGACGTATGCAGATTCACTGCAGCAGCTGCAGATTGCGGCAAAGTCCACCAACGAAGCAGATGTGCAGTGCGAGCTGTACGAACTCGCTCGCTTTGGCTGAAGCCTGCCTCCAAGAGTCAGTGCATGTCAAAAAGAACTGAGCCTGCTTGTTGCGCCTGCAGCATCCTCACTATTCACCATCATCACCAACCCCAACATCCAAAGCATCGTTATCACTTGCCTTGCCTTCGCCTGTACTACAGGTAACATCAGCACCACCGTTTGATCATCATCATCATACTCACATCTTCATCGTCGTCATCATAATCATCATCAGTATCATCCTCCTCCTCGTCGTCGTTTTGATCATCATTATCATCATCATCGCCGGCATCACCATCATCATCTTCTTGTTCCTTCTCATCATCATCAACATATAACCTCCATTGGCATCATTGTAATCCTTATCATCAACACAGTTCGCTAGTTTTCTTGTTAACCAATGACTTAGTTGCTTCCTCCGTTAGCTGTTAACTATTGACATCATCATTACCATCATCGCCAACATCATCACCACCGCCATCAGCATCATCACTATCGCCATCATTACCATCACCATCAATGTCAATACCCAATCACCAGTATCAACGTCACCACCGCGAGGACCGCACGGCCATCATTTTCATCATCATCATCATCACCACCACCATCGCCATCACCATCAAAGCACCATCAAACCGCCATCACGGCCTTCACCACCTGTCACCACCAGCTTCGGTATCGGCAGCAGCCTGTGCGCCGACCATTGGCTCAAATTTACTGTCTCACAGAATATGTTTGGTGTAATGTTCGGTCGTATCGCTGTATCGTAGGCAACCGGCCAAAAGCGTGGATTTTGAGCGGGGTTGACGCTTACATGAATGCGGATACGCACGTACATGTACCCGCACAAGCACGCACAAGCATAAGCATAAGTATATGTACATGTATATGTACATGTTTCATCGCTTGGTTTTGTAGCCATGATCAGGGCTGTGGAGGCGCGAACAAAGGGCGACTTCTCGACTGTCCATCGCTTTCGCCATGCCACAGATCGGTGCATGTTTGATTGTCGATCTTCTGCTGCAGCATCTGCGGAATGTGTGATGCAGTCGATTTAGATTTACTAGCGACAGGAGCTCGCCACCCTGCCATCGGTCACCTGGCTGCATTCACCATCTCCTTCCAGCCCACAGCTCATGTTGGAATAACCTCAAGTTTTCTATAGGTTTCCATCATGACATTTTGCAACACTCCGGGTCAGCAGAAGTCGAACCTATCAAGTTCTGACAATTGCATTAGTCGGTGTGACTCCATACCACTAAGTCGAGTATGTGTGCTCAATGTGCCGTAGGCAACTGAGCTTTCAGCACCCCTTCATTTCAAATGTTTGCGCGATCAAGAACTTGGCGACAATCTGTTTGAGAATACCGGAGGCATTGCAGCAACAGGGTCTGGGCAAGCGGAGGTAACCAGATTGTCTGCCAAAGCCCGCATGTTGGAAGCTCGGTGTGTGTCTTACAGTACTTGCCGCAACATATTGTGCTGCAAACTGAAGGCAAAGAGTGGACCAGCGTGTTGTCAACCAATATAGCACTTACAGAAGCTTAGTTGAGTTGTTTGTTCGAAGCGTCGTTTTCGGAAAAAGTTAAGCACGTGTAATTGCAAACCGAACGCACTTGGTTTACCTGGACCCATCAGGGCCACCGTTCAAAAACTTGTTGCGATAGTGCACAAGACTCCTATAGGCTACACAGTGGCTACAGATTGCCACGCGACATTTGGGAAAACTACTGTTCAGCAGGAGCCAACCCTGCCAAGTTCTGAGAGTTGCATTCAGTGCGCTTCCATACCAAAGTACTCAGTTGAGTATCTGGGCCCAGTGTGCCGTGGGCACCTGAGCTTGCAGTGTCCACTGCATTTCATTTGTTTGTGCGATCAAGACTTTTGAATATTGCGACATTCCGCTTGAGAATACTGGAGGCAATGCAGCAAAGGGGTTGTATTTGCAATTGTGGCCGGCTCTGGTTCTGTGCGAAAGGCTGAGCTTCCCGATCCGGCAGTGCAGCTTCTGGCTGCCCAAAGGAAGGCCCGGAAGCAGTCAGCACAGAAGGGAAGCAACGAGCTCAATGGCTACAGCAAGTTGGGTTTCGACCGCAGATCGAGAGCCACGAGAAGGAGCTCAAGGCATTGCAGGCGACTTGCACCAGACTTCCGTGCAAGTGTTTTTATTTGGTTTGCTTGAGCTGAAGAATGGGCATCATACGAGGCTTCCTTGATTTTGATCCGCAGCTTCATGTTTGGGGTGGCAGTGCCTGGTCAACTCAGGGTCGGCGTTAAGAGGAGCTTCCGTTGCGGGATTAGACATGCTCACAGCCTTCGCATGGGGCAGTAGCTTGTTGTCCACCGTCCAACACCATGCAGAATGCCATCATGCGTATCGCTCAATGGCCGGAGGACAAAAATGACGCCCTCACCAACGAGCTCAAATCGTTGAAGGAGGCTTTAAGGGGGAGCCGGAGCTCCGGTGAACAATTTGCATCAAACAATCCGCACTCGCCATGCTCAGTTCCTGGTGTCCATTCAATGCATGAAGGCCGGTCGTGCACCTTTTCCGGCACAGATGCGCAGGAGCTTTGTCGTCAACACGTTCTGCGATGAAGAGGAGAGTTCAGACCAGATTGGGGCTTTATCATAGCTCTTGAACTTGAACGCTTTCCCTTTGCCTGCAGGCCGGGTCCCCACTTTCCGCGTGGTACATGGCGAGGCGACGTAGTACAGTACCAATGTAAATACATACAGGCACGCATGCACACACACACACAGACACAAACACACACACACACACACACACACACACAGACACACACAGACACACCTAGACACACACACACACACACACAGACACAGACACAGACACAGACACAGACACAGACACAGACACAGACACAGACACAGACACAGACACAGACACAGACACAGACACACACGGAGTTTGGGAGTCCATCAGGACAAACCACTTCCAGTTTTGCCATAATATGTTGCTAAAGTCGATGATCACCTGATGGCCTTATTATGACAATCCTGACAATGCGACATGAACCTTAAAGTCCTCAAAGCACACATCAGCACACAGTTCGGCTTGCCAGGTTTTTGGCTTGGCCTGGTTGCCATTCAATCCTAAAGCAGGTACGTCTGGCTGATCAGGCCAGATATCACCATGCGCTGACAGTGTCTTCGTTGGGCAGTGACTGTCAGGCATGCACTGCCCCCCTGCTGATAAAGAACGATGCAGTACTGGAAAACACTGGTATCGAATGCACCAAGAACCTCTAGCTAGGGGAAAGTCCTGGGTCCTGTGTCCAGTTGCCCTGCTGACGAGACAAACGATGCAGTGCTGGAGAACATTAGCAGCGAAGGCACCGAAAACCTCTAGCTTAGAGTCGAGGCTTACAAGCACACACACACATGCGTACTTAAAGAGGGGAAATCTGGGTCCTGTGTCGAATCGCATCAAGCACTGGTTCTTTTACAAAAACTCGCGACATCAAGTCCTGTCGGAATCAAGTCCTGTCGGAAGCTGTCGTTCACAAATGTCGGTAACCGTCTTCATCGTGCAGGAAACAGTAGTGCGGACCGTGCCAATCATGTTGTTGCTCCTGAGCACTATGGTGACTGTGATAGCAGCAACGATTCTCGCAATGTTGACACCGGTGTTGACAACGAATGGGTCCATCCTGAAACCGGAATCTGCGATTGAGTCTGTCCCAGATCTGCCAGAGCAACTCCAGTAGCTGAGCGGTGGATGCTTGACTGACACTGAGTGTCTCTCATCATTTGATTATCCATGGCTGCTGAATACCTGCAAGATATGAAAACTCGAACCTGAAAGGTGGAACCGCGCGATACCTCCTATGCACATGCTGCATGATGGAGAGAGGCAAAGAGAGAGAGAGGGAGAAAGAGAAGGAGGAGAAAGAGAGAGAGAGAGAGCACAACAGCAGTGGTCTTGTTTCCGGGACCTGGGCTGATTGCAGTTGTTAGTCCGTCGACGATTTCTTCGCTGTCTTCAAGACATAGCGAACCAAGTCCAATGTGCTGCGGAACCTCTTCTTGGGTCCTGGCTTTTCCTTAACAATGCGATTTCCGTGTTTTTGAAGGAAGCCGAAGATCAGCGAAGCACGATTGGGAATGTAAAAATCGTCGCCTAAAATGCGGGTGTTCTCCATATGGCGTCGAAACATCTTACGCGGGCTAGGAAGAATCTTAATCCTAACGCCGTCAGAGTCCTCATCCATCATGCGCAAACGTCGCCGAGGTTTTTTAGAATGTAGCTCTGGTTCCGGAACAGGAACCACTTCAGGAACAACTGCACTGTCCTCCACTGATTCTTCGTCTGCGGTACCTCCAATGTGTGCAGAGTCTACATCCGAGGAATCCTCCGGGGTGATGCATTGAGGCATGTATGTTGAAGAAATGCCGCCACTGTCAGCTTCACTCAGATTGTCGACGTACGATCCTGAAGACATGTACTCGTCAGAGATGGAAAATGAGTCACAGCCATCCGACAACCTCCGGAACGAAACGAGCCATGGTGCGATCCCCTACTCCTACCAAGGGTCCTGAACCTGTGTACCGACAGAAATGCACAAGTGACATTCAAGAAGCTAACACGCAACAGCAACGGTCCGGAAGCGTACCTTTTATACAGAATGAGTCATGTCACCATACCTGTGGATTCCACCGAGTCGGGTGGTTCTGTACATCTTCGGAATCCCTGTAGTCTGGAGCGGTCCTCACGACATGAACCACATCCAATGTGGCCAGTGCAGTGATAGGTTCCAGGAAAGAGAAATGCCTTCCGTTTTGATGTAATTGGAAGCACTGCAATTGAGGACGACGTCCTGCCAACTCTTTGATCCTATATGTGAGAAGTTTCTTGACTGCATCGATATTGTCCACACTGCAGCACACCAGATGAATGATCATCGCCTGGTTCCTGGTGCATCGATCAGCTGGCATCTGAACTGTAACCCTGACAGCCTGCGGTTCACGCGGAAAACCCGCGTCGGCAGCTGTCCG